AAAAAAATTCTAGTTCATGTCTCATTGAAATTTTTCACTTTCAGATTTATCCTGCGGGCCGGATTGAATCCCTTGGCGGGCCGGTTTAGGCCCGCGGGCCGTACGTTTGACACCCCTGGTTTAAAATAATTAATATATAGTAATATAATAAAAATTTGCATAATAATAAAACAAATACCATGCTGTGAGGATGGGAAAGCAGACAGAAGGCAGATCCCGTATTGTGGGAGACTTAGGTCTTTATTAGTTTGCCAGGTGCAGACAAAGTCAAATCAGAAATCCAAAATCTTAGTCAGGACGGGTGCAGGAGGTCGAAAGCCGGGAAGTCAGTCCTACAGGCAGGCACGGGACGAGACGATGAGGGGGAAAGAGGATCGACGTAGATGGGTCAGGAGCGCAGGACAGGACAGGTAGGCAGGGTAGGTGAGAAAAGCAGGCAGGATACAGTAAGCAGGGCAAGCGGGAGAGACAAAAGACAAATGGACGCTCAGTAAGGCTCCAAAACATGGCAACAATGGGTGCATTCGACCTGGGTTAGGTCTGTCTGCAGCTGACGTGACGTGGAGTGAGATCAGTCAGCGGCTGCAGGGGTGGAGTATAAACTGACTGCAGCCAAGTCGGACAACTTCTACTCCTCGTAGTCTGTGAGACCTGACTGCAATGGCCGCACTGCCAGAAGGGTGTAGATAAATCTATACAAATATCACCTGCATGAACATTATTTCTTTTACAATAACCAACTCCTGATCCAAACTGTTAGCAGTGAAAAAAAACTATTGTGTATAGTGGCCCTGTATAAAAAGATAGCTGCCAGGAAAAAGATCAAATACATTTACTTCAAGGATGCAGAGTTTTTATTGTCATGCACAGAGTACATTGCAATTCTTATTTGAATGCCTTCTTCACAGACTAGACGATTAAACAAATGAAGCAGCGCAACATTACAGTAACTAACAATAAATAACTAACTTACGTGTACTATTAGAGCATTTATTTCATTTATTTAAACTTTATTTTACCAGGTAAATTAAGTGAAAACCAATTCTCACTGCTTTATGTGCTTTTCGGGAGAAATAGCAGATAACGCATCGGAACCATAGACGATCGGCACTGCCTGGGATACAAACATCATGCATGTGACTAAAATCTTCAGCCAATAAGGGCAAAGTTGTGTCGTTACGGAGGTGGCTCCAGTTTGTGCAGCTGGCTGAGAGGTGCTGCATGATCTGTCTTGTCAGCTTGCTCTCGCGAGAATGCATTGCTTTAAGCCAGTGCTGTAAGCGGCAGTGTCACTACCGAAAATTTTACACCTGTGGCTGCCCAAACTGCGATCCTTGCCCGATCTTGCCTTAACACATGCAAAACTTGTGGCCCCATTACATGAATGACAATGTGCAATGTTTTTACAAGTGTAGATAACACTAAAAGATTCAGTTTACATTACTGACAAGCTATTACCAAGTTAGACAGAAAAACCATAATATTTTCCTCCATTCCAAAGTCCCCACATCATGCACCGAGCTAAAAGTTAACTTTCCTTGCATTCACTATAAAGTAAAGAGTGGGGCTTACAAAGATGATTTGTAAGGATAGGCATGTTGCCCTCCTTCATAGACATTTTCTTTCTGCATGATCTGCAGACAGTGTGACCATCTTCAATCAGTTTTCCTTCTGCAGTCTTATAAAAGCCAAAAGAGGACCACACCTCTGACCTAAGGTGACCACCTAATCCATGTCAGGGGGCACACTATGAGCTAGGACAGGGTTTGAAAACCACAATTTCAATGAAAAAGAGCTGAATTTCACTTAAGCACTCAGTCCATGCTGTGTGCTGATTGGTCAGTCTCCTACAATCATGACGTGTCACTAATGTTAATGTAAAACAGCTGGATGAGTCTTTCAGTCAAGGAAACAAACCAGTCAAAGCACAAGAAGCATAGTAATTAGCCAAGCACAGGAGTTTGTAAAACCTGAAGTAGCTGATTGTGTCCCTCCTGACATGGATTAGGTGGTCACCATACTCTGACCTGGTCCTCTAGGTGGCTGAGTAACTTTCTGTGCGCTGTCACTGCCTTCCGCCATATTTTCAACACCAAAGAAACCCACACTGCATGCTGCACCTGCACCTGGGAAACTGTTGATAACTTTGGTTAATGGTGCACAGTGTTTAACGTAATGCTGTACTGCTGAGATGTCTCTGCACATGGATCCCTGTAACAGCTCAGGAGCATGCTTGGAAAATTGCAAATAGCCCTTGTTTGTGTTTTGTTGTTTTCCTGATTATCATGCGTGCCCTTGGCTGTGTCTTACAGTATGTGATCCTTGTTTGGTTCTCGCATGTGTCTAGTTGTTGTGTAAAATACCCACAGTGTGTGTGCCTGCAGTCCGGGTCAGCTCTCCCTGTATTTCCCTTTAATGTGTGTTCAGCAGGTGTTTGATGTCCTTCTAAGGGCTTAATAAAAGGGCATTGTTTCCCCTTGAAAGCAAGCCTCCTTGTTTCTTGCCATCTTTCTTGCCTTTCTGCCTGTATTGTACTGGATAAAATCATCAGCTAAACATAACAATAAGTAAATGACTTCTGGGTTATTGTTGTTTCTTATGCTGTTTACAACAAATCTACAGCTCCCACCATCAAAAATGGAATAAATGCTACCTGGAACTTCACCTGGATTGAATCACAAATGAATTGGCCTGATGCTCAGAGCTACTGCAGACACAGTTACACAGACCTGGCCACTGTGAGGAATAAAGAAGATAATGACTTGATATGTAAGATGTTTAAAAAAGGCACATGGGTGTGGATTGGCCTGTTCCAGGACACATGGGAATGGTCAGACCAGTCAAACTCCTCATTCTGTAACTGGAAAACTGGTCAAAATGATAATGTGGATAACACATGTGCTTTAGCACAGGTCACCTGGCCTGGGACATGGGATATGACACCATGTGATGAAAAGCATCCATTCGTATGCTATGATGGTGAGTTCTATATCTTATCTATGAGCAGCAGCTGATTATCACCTTATCATGTAACAATCTTATTTGACATTACATTAAATATAACTACACCTAAATTTATATTTTAGTGTTATAAATACACATAACACTGCCGAATTGCACTATAGTTGCAATAGTTTTCTCTTCACTATTTTGTGAATTTCACCCTCTTTATCCTTCTGATAATAAATTCCTTTCTCCAAGTTTCCAAATGTCACATGACTTTCTCCTGAACCCGCTTTCTGACAATCATCTTACCTTCTGCCCCAGAAAACCTGATCTTGGTAAATAGTAACATGACCTGGAATGAAGCCCTGAATTACTGCAGAACGCACCATTCAGACCTGGTGTCTGTCCACAATGAGAAGATCCAGTACTGGGTCAGTAGGATGGCTGAGAAGGCCTCCACTGATCATGTCTGGCTGGGGCTGCGCTTCTCCTGCTCCCTGAACTTCTGGTTCTGGGTCAGTGCAGAAAATGTCTGCTACCAGAACTGGGAAACAAACAACTCTAACATCTGTGGAAACGCAGGGGCAGTACAACCTAAAGACCCACATTACTGGGTCAGCCTGCCTGAGACTGAGAAACTTAACTTCATCTGCACCAAAAGGCAGGCTGGTCCAGGAACACAGTACCTGCAGAAATTGTCAAAATGTATAAATGTGTAACTGTGCAGATGAAGTTTTTGCTTCCTGTGTTCTGTAGAATTAGAGTTGAAACCCCTGCTCTAGATCTTCAGCACTCCAGATTCAGAATGATGTATGATTATAAGACTGGTTGTGTATAGAATCAAATATCTGTCATTTCTTGTTATTGTTGCAATAAGAGTAGAAATAAATAATCTATATACATCTGAACAGAGGCGTCAGACCACAGGTAATGTTGGACCTGACAAACCAGGGCCCTGCCTGTATGGGGGGACTTCAGAAGCCTCAGAAATAATTACATTTGGATCTCTAACTTTAATACTTTCTGTATAAAAATAAATTATAACTTACGTGATAACTTCTGTTTATCTACCTGCTTCCTCCACGTCCCTCCTTGTCTCCCTCCTCTGCCTCAACTGTCCCAGCCTTTCGTGCCTCCTCCCCATTTGGCCAGCAGGTGTCGCTGGCCATCCTGTCCTCTCTGTTGTTCAAGGCTGTAGTGTGTTTCCTTTGCTTCCTGAACTGCTACATGGCTTTAGGGTCTGAGCATACAGTTACCAAACCCAGTAGTTGTGTGTTCAAATCCAGCCCCCTCTGTTTTTGTCTTTAGTAGATTGTGTTCCCTACTGTTTCCATTGTATTAGTTTTTCTACTTCAGGAGTTTTGTGGTTTGCTTTTTTGTATTGCATTTTGGTAGGTGCCTGTGTTTGTGATTATGTATTACTTATCTTTGGTATAGTCTTCTGTTTCTTAGTTTCCCTATTGGTCTCATAGTTCCCTGATTTAATTATTAGTTTCACCTGTTGCCTGTTTTCTTGCACCAGTTCTTGTGTGTCCTACCTGATTGCTCATTGTCCTACACCCTCCTTGATTGGTTAATTGTTTCATGTCTCACTCCTACATCGTTGTTACCCAGTTTGGTTTGTGTATTTATGTTCCTGCCTTAGTTCAGTTCTTTATTTGGTCATTGTGTTAGAATGTTCATGTGGGCTGTGTTTGTCATGCTGCCTGTTTGCTGTGTTACTGGTTTCCCTTTGTAGGTCATTTATGGTTCTATAAGTAGCATTTTAACCCTTGTTTTGTTCTAACTCTTCATGGTTCTTCTGTTTGTAGTTTTACCCAGTGTTTTTAGTGTCTGTAATAAACCCCTTTGTGTCTCAGTCACCTCTTTTCCCCGCCGGCGCCATGCCCCATGCCAAATGGAGAAAGGACATGTAGAGGCTAAAATACAGTGTGGAGATATTTTAAATTGACAGACAAAAAAATTAGAGTAACTGAATTCATTGCTTTGAATGACCAGCCCATCGCTGTGGTGGAGAATACAGGATTTCGCTGTCTACTGGAGCTTTACAACAAGGTTTGTGACGACCTACAAGGCCTTTTAACAGATATGGCTGCTATTAGCTTTGCCACAGAAATCTGAAGTTCTGATGTTTCCCCAATGTCATTCCTTCGCTTGGGGCTAAGTGGGGTTTCTTGATCAGTACCCACTCACCAGGTACCAGTGTGTGACCTCCATTTGATGGGCTCTTCTCCACTTCTCCTGATAACTACAAATTAACTAGGGAAATCCCTCAAGGGTTAGCTTCACCTCAGCCAGTGCAACAGTCTACCAGCAAGTATGAGATATATTGTTCCCAGTTCTTCCCTGACCTAATGACCATACAACCGATTTGGTGGACTTTGTTTTTGGTGAAGCATGG